ACTCCACACTGGAATAAGGGAAGTGTGAGCAGTCTTCTCACTGAGAAGGAAGGAGTGGCAGAGACAGAGTGTGATGAACTGACTGCAGCCCCCATTCCCTGTGCCCCTGTGCTGGTCAGAGTGAAGATGTAAAGAACATGGGAGTTAAGTTGAGCACAGGAAGAAGGGAAGGGTGGGGAGAGGTTATTTTTGAAATGTGGGGTTATTTCTCATTATCCTATTCTGATTTGATTGGTAATGAACTAAACTAATTTCCCCAAGTTGATTCTATTTTGCCCATCACAGTAACTGGTAAGTGACTTCTCCCTGTCCTTATCTTGATCAATGAGCCTTTCCTTATGTTTTCTCTACTGTGTCTATTAGGAGGAGAGTGTGCTGAATAGTTAAGAGATTTCAGCTGGGATATTTTGGTTGTTTTAAGAAGTTCTAGGAAATGTCTTTGTGAAAGCCCCTCCTTTGCAGTGGTGTTTCCTGTGGCTCAACTCCGGTACCAATATCCTCTAAATTCAGGATTCCAGGGGCTATGCAGGCCATTTCAGTTACACAGAGTTGAAGGTCACGTTTAGTTTACTGGCAGTTTCAGACTCATCATTTTCCAGTACCATAGTAATTTTTTAAAGTTTGCCTCACATTCTTCATTCCTAAATGTACAACTTTTCATTTCGCTGTATTTAAACTGCCCATTTGCTTGTGCTAAATTGTGAAATTCAATGTAAAAGAGCTGTCACACCATCACCTCTACTGTATATGTCACAACTACAAGGCATTAGCAGCCATTGTGTATTTTCTTTCAAAATCTTAATATTAAACTTCAACAAGTTGATAAGTTCTAGACAGGTGTTGCTAGAAATGTCTATGTAGCACAGATGATATATTGCTAGAGGGGAGGTTTTATTTTTCTCAGCAAATTTTAGATGTGGTTAGGTGTTTATAGAGGAATGGAATGACCATGCAATGGAAATTGTACAGTTTTCCAAGAAGAGAATGCTGCCATTAGGGAAATACTTCTATAAAATGAGACCCCAGTCTTCATCCAGTCAATGTATCTGGCCAAGGTGCACCAATGTTTCTCTAAATGTCACACACAAAGGATTCTTGAGTACTGCACAGTAAAATTGATAAAGTGGACATAATTTTAAATCCATTCTGGAGCTTTTCGTTTTGGTTTAAAATGTTTTCATTAGGTGTGAAACTGATTATATTTTGGTTTCGTGCTCAACCAGCTATTTTTACTGTATTGAAATAGCCGTTGATTAATATTAAAGCAAATATACACACAAATATGCACCGAGCTGATTGCCTTTTTCCAAAACTAGAGCCACTTACAGGCTTTTGTAAAACAGGTTTGGACTTCACATCATTGAAGGACTCATAGTTTTTTTCTCATATTCAAATATTTGAATCTGGCCCTATTTGTCCATCTCTTAAACTATACAAAAAATACAGAGATTTAAATTACACTTGAATAAGAAACATCATTGAATTCCATAAATTTCAATAGACTTCTCACCAGCCTGAATGGAGGACCATGCCTCCTGCATGTAAGTACTTGAAAATCAGAGTATTTGTTATATCAGTTGAATTTTCTTCATCTAGTGACATATAGCCATCAAACTCTATTCAGTTTTACTTTTTTTCTGGAAGTTTTCACAAATATGCTGCTTGTTTTTAATTATTATGTAAACATTTTGTAAGGAGAGCAGTTTGTATCTCATATGACAGAGCCAAGAAGAGATGGTACAGACCTCTTGGAAATGTTCCTTGAAAATTCGTGCAAAGGACAGTAGATCTCAGAACAACTGCACACTATTTTACATGCACTATACATTGAAACAAATATCAATTTTTAATTTTTTGGTCTTTGACATTTGCTCACATACTGAATACAGAAAACAAACACAAGCTCTGTAAGGTACAAGTTGTTCTTTTCTTTGCTGTTCTCTTTTCTCAAAATACCACAAATATCATTAGGTTCAATGTGTCACATCACACTGTGAAGCAATTATGAAGATAACAATGTCTAAATTAATGTATTCACAAAATTATTTTATAAAGCGATCCCTCTCCTTCCCTAAATCGTGTGATTTAAAGAGAAATTTATTTCACTGCAACATTAAATATATAAAGGTTAATGTTTATCTCTTGGAGATAGTGACATTATTTTTTGAAAATGGAGATCTAATCAATTATGAAAATAATAAGGTTTGAAGGAAGACATGCATGCATGCAAAGTAAAAGGCAATACAAAGCTCAAAGGACCATAACTTACAAACTGTCATTTAAATGCCCTATCTTGCCAAAGATTAAATGGTTTTTAAAATAATATTTTTTCAACGTTTAAATTTAGAAAAAATATTTCTGAAGAATTTTAAATACTCACAGATCCAACTAATTTCATCATAGAAAATATTGAAAGAATATTAGGATTGCAGATGGGAACACTCCACTACAAAATTTAAGTTTGCTCCTTATACAGTCATAATGCTTTTTACATGTAATTTCAGCCAGTTTGGACATATTTTTGTAATCTATTACAACATGAAGTTTTGTTACCAACCTTAGACATACAAAAATTTTGAAGAAATTCTACATTTTTTGATACAAGAATTTTAGAGAATTATGAATGACTACATTACTTCATATGTTTAGTACATACTTGTGACTGAAAATAGTGTAGTTTAATGACTCAGAAGCAGCAATTAAGTGTCAGCTACACTTGCAACTAATAATATTCCTTTCTTCAATATTAGTTAAGTGAGCAACACAATTACCTGTGAAGTAGCACTGCTGATCATAAAGCTACACAAGTTCCTTCATGTTACTGCATGTTTGCACATATTCAACAGTATGTTGGCCAAGTGCCATTTAATTGGGGTTTTATGGCTATGGATCCTAAATCTGATTTATATAGAGCAGTGCACAGTGTGCATCTGGGTCCACACATATCTTGGAATTGTATTTTAGTCGTTATTAGGGGAAGAAGAGCGCTGCTGTAATCTTTTGTATGATACCTCAAACAACCTACTGACAATCTGGCAGGGCAAACACGGCACTAAGAGCCCTGGTGGAATAATTTCTTTACCTCTTTTAATGAGATTTCTGTATCTTTTTTAGGCAAGTGTGGTGCAAAGCAGAAAATGTAATGTAAAAAATGCAGACTTTGTTAGAAACCTGCTGCAGTGTCTTAGTTTGAGAGGAATCTGAGTACACATTCCTGTTATTTATTTTGTTTCATACAGCATACCATTTTCAAATTCACACAATAGGATGGAATTCAGTGGGATTATTTCCTCTGGCCTAACCAGAGAAATATATTTTTTTTCTCTTGCCTTTACTTCATGTACACTGAAATCAACCTTTCCTGTTAGAAAAAGACACCAAAAAGCATATTAAGCCAGTCAATGAGGTGAAACTTCTGCTTTGCTTTCCACCAGAAACCACAATCCCTGCCAACAAGCTCAGAAGCTGGAAGCAAATACTCAGTTGTAGGGGATCTTAGCGCCCATTCCCTGATTTTCTACCCAAGTCAGTAATTTCTGTGGCAGGACACCTTCCTGACCAAGAGTGCAGCCACTGGAGGTTTGGCCACAGCTCACAGCACACATTGACACTGCTCCTATGCTCGTAACCTTTGTGTCACAGCTGAGCAGGACAAAGTCACACTGCAGACACAGCCCAACAAAGGCACGCTTCAGGCAGGAAACTGAGCCTTAGGGTGCCAGCTGCTTCTTAAGGTTTCCCTGAAAAGTTCAGGTGGAAGTTTTACTCATATTCACCAGGAACAAGATGGGACCTTTCTAAACAGTTGTTGCAGAAATCCCTTCTCTCTCACTCCCTCATCCTAAAAATTTCCAGACATATGTAGCTCCATTACTATCAAGCACCTGGGTTTAAAATTATGTACAATTAAGGAAAAAAAGACTTCTCTAGAAGTGACAATATAGTTAGCTTGTTATCATAATTGTTTTTACAATTATATGTTTACATTGCAATTTTTATTCAAAATCACAAAATAGCAATTTTTAAAAATAAAAATACAACTTTCAAAATCATAGAATTTCCTAAATTTTTCTAAAATGTCCATTCAGCTGAAGTTTGATAATGCTTTAATAATTTGAGTGTTTGAGGTGATGAGTACCTCAAAACTCAAAGGAACTTCTTTTTAGGCTGTTTCTGAACCATAGTCTCAGCCCAGGAAATGGTTTCCTGCAGTGATAAACCATTCATTTCCAATTGTGAGTTTTTAGAAAATATATATTTGTATATATTTATATTTTTTGTTCCTAGAAATATAATCAAATGGTTTCTTCATATGGAAGAATGGACACAAACACCATGCATGCAATAGCATGTCTTTGATACACTTTTACTTATTCCAAGAAGACAGTAGTGTCACACAAACATAGATATTTTAATGTGAGCTAACTCTCCATAGTCGATGTTCCACCACTCTGAATTATTATTTTTTCTAAAGCAAGTCTGTGGAGAAAAAGGAATCTGAAAGAGGATCTGGCCAACCCCACTTAGCATCTTGAAAGACCAGGAGAGGGTTGCAGGACTCTCTCAGCAATTTTACACGAAATACCAAGCCTGGGTGAGTGGTGGATATTCTGGAGAGCAGGCATGCCTTTCAAAGGACCCTTGGTAAACGGGAAACATGGAAGTGACAGCTACCAAATGCATGAACATCAAGAAAGACAAAAGCCAAGTCCTGACACTTGGACTGGGACTCAATGCAAATCTGCAGAAAAGGACTCGAGGGCTTGTGAAGCAGAAATTCAATATAAGTCAGCAGTGTTTCCTTGCAGCCATAAATTATGAGAATATTGGGCTGCATTAGCAAGAACCAGCCAATGGGTCAAGAGAAGCAATTATTGTGGTCAGTGCTTGTGAGGCCACACCTGGAACACACTCCTCAGTTTTGAGCACCTCATTTCATGAGAGGGAGGGATATGCTGGAGGAAGGGCAGGGGAAGGCCACTGGTCCAGCCAGGGACCTGAGGAGAGGCTGAGAGCAGCACAGTGATTTCAGAAGGGAAGGCTGAGGGGAAATTCAATGGCCATCTTAAATCTACACATCAGTCAGTTAGAGAACAAACTTCAGTAGACAGGGAAAGGACAGAAAGCAATGGTCACAAGATACATCAAGGGAAATCCCAACTGTGGATAAGGAAAAAAAATAGTGAGGGTGATTAGGCACTAGCATAGGTTGCTCCAAAAATATTGTTGAATTGCCATCCTTAGAAATTTTCAGATTTTGCCTAGACAAGGAAGTGACACAGCTCTGAGGGCATTCCCTGCCATGAGAGGATGTCCAGAAGTTCCTTTAACTTGATTTGCTCTATGACTCTATGTGTCATTAATAAAAAAAGGTAAAATCATGTCTTACTCCAGCTAAAAGAATGTTTTTAAAGGAGTAACTGTTTTTTCATTATTTCTTTAGTGGTTTACCACCTAAAGACATTTTAAGTAAATTTATAAAGTTGTGGAAACTACTAATTTTATTTAAGAATTTGCAGAATTGTACCGTTTACCTTATGTACTTTGAATTAATTTAAATGCAACCTACTTTATATTTCCAGTTTAAAACTACATGGTATCAAGCTCCGCCCACACCTTTTAAGGGAATGCTTCTTTTAAATCCTTAATCATTGTCTAGAGCTTTTTTATGAAACATTTAAAAACATATGTATGCATTGCAAGTTTAAAACTGTATCTCCATCTCCAGGCCAATGAAATTAAGAAAACATACACATGCACATGCAGCACATGAAGAAAAGCTTCCCTCAGTCAGACACAAATCCTCATTTCAGTACAACTACACACAGGCTATAAGAAAACCCCTATATAGTGTACACGAGAGCTCTGTGTATACAGCAAGGCAGCCACATGAAGTGGAAAACCAATCCATCCTTGCTCAGTAAGACATATTAAATCCAGCTAAACAGATAGAAATAGCATTTCCTCTCTAAAGCAATTGTCTCAAGGTGTACACAACTTATTCCAACTCCAAATCAGAGCCCAAGTTTACTTTAAAAAGAAAAAAACGTTAAAACAATCTGAAAAGAGAACAAAAGCTTTCTTTGAAATCACAGTAGTCCAGTATTTATTATCTGTAGGACATGAAATTTATCAATTTTTCACTTTCATGGAGTAAGATGTCAGAAGGTTACCTGTCCACATGAACATCTTGTACCTTTGTATGCTTAGTGAGTAAGAATACAGACATATCATCTCAACTTTTTTTTTTTTTTTTTTTCACAAATATCTATGGAAGTCCAAGACCTTTATTTCACAAAGCTATCTAAGATGCAAAGGATCAGCCCAGGTTTCTTTCATATGAGTTTCACAAACTTTGGTTACAAATGCAACTTCAGTACATTAAATACCAATTAGCTTTATCAAGATAAACCCAGGATAAAGCTCATTGTGCTTTTTTTTTCTTGGTGTTTAGTTTACATAAAGGAAGAGCCAACACACAGGGCTTCTCAACATTCACACGTGGGTACAATTGGTAGAGGGTGGTGTATCTATCCGACTCTTATTTTCCTTAGCATCATTCAGAAGTGACTCATTACCAATCTGGCATTTGAAGACTTGTTTGTAGGCCTTCCTAAAATTTTCAGATAGAAATGCATATATGATTGGGTTCACAGAAGAATTGCTGTAGGCCAGGCAGTGTGCAGTTACCCTGAAGAGAAAGGAGGCTTGAGTCAGTGGGAAAACTCCGAATTCAGCCCAGAGATGGATCACATGATGAGGCAGCCAGGAGATGCCAAAAACCACTACCACCACCAACACAGTCTGTGCTGTCTGAGACAAGGAAAGGAAAACACATATGTCTGATGAGCACTCAAAGGATCAGCTTTAAACCTATTTCAAAACTACTGTTTGGAGGGGAAAAAAACCCAAACCCCCAAAAAACACAACAAAAAGTATACTGAGAGGGAACACACTGCAATATATGTTATTGCTTTCACCCCATTACGTATATGGGCTTTATTTTGCATAGAGAACTACTGCAAGGAGAATCCCAGCCTTGGAAAATGTCATAGTAAACAGCAAATGCACAACTTTCCTCAAAGGTAACAAATTATGTTCCTAACCCCCTACACAAAAGCTTAGCCTTTTCTGAAGTGGACCTAAGCCTGTTGTAAAATAAGACAACAGGGGTCTTTGGGAAATCTCATCCAGATCAAATGATCTATATTTTACTATAGTGCACAAGAGTTTCCCATTAAAATTTCAAGAAAGATCTATTATGCACGAAGGAAGCTGGTAGAAAAGTTTAGAGCTTGCCCAACTGCTTACTTAAGAAAGCTTTTTGGAAGTGTCTCCTTTAAACACAGAATTTCCACAGAGAGAGTCATACAACAACATTCTGGGATACAACTAGTGAAAAAAAAACCCAAAAGTAAGGGCTTGAAATTTCTGGTCATTGCACATTATCAAAACCAATCTGGAAATTAAAGTTCACCACCAAACATTAATTTAAAAATGGAACAAAAAGTATCTTCAGTGCTGCTTCCACACTGCACTTCCACTATTTATGAGAGGACCATCAATTTCATTAGAACAATTCTGAGCTCCAGAAAGAGGTCGTAGGGACCCTTCAGGTGCTGAAGGTGTTCTGTCAGGGCACAGTGGAATCTGACTGTCAATATTTTCTTTAGCTTTCATCTACTTCAGAAACAGCAGTTAGTGCTTTGCAGTGACCTAACTAATTAATATCTATCCCTCTACCAAGTACCTCTTTCAACCAAACAAGTCTCCAAATAAAAGTCTAATAATAACTCCAAGGCATATTATGTCATGATCCCTTATAATTTCTATATTAACACTTAATAACATAATTTTTCAGGTAACTTTTTCACATCCAAAACTAACACAGTGGTCACAGAGTGATAAATATTGCACCATAGAAAATATTAGATTTTCTGCTAGTTTATGGAACTTGGTCTATACTTCTTGAACTGATTAATGCTCAGTAACAAATAAACTGACCTACCTAATCAGAACATGAGTTAGCTTAGAAAACCTTCCAGGAAAAACGTTTTGATTTCTGTGGCTACAGGCCAAAATAAGTTATGACAGATTCTGCCGTTGATCAGTATAATCTCACAATGGAAACCAAAACACATTAAATCTGTAGTTAATATAATTTATTTAATCTAAAGAAATAATTTGTTTTCACAAGCCATTCCTCTCTTAGCCCTATGAAGTTTAAATCAGTTGCCACTAAAACAGCCACAGAGATTTTTTTTTCAGGTCTTATTAGGAGGATGTGTTCTAACAAGATCACATAAATTAAGAGCAGTTTATTCCCTGATTGATGTGTTCAGTGGGTTAATATTACAAGTGGAAACAAATTTTCAGGATATCACATGCAATATTACTTAAAAAGAGGCATATTGCTTCAGTTTGTTCAAAATTCTAAGAAAAATTAACCAGGAAAATCACTGGCTTTCAATAGGCTATGGATGCACCTGAAAGCAGAGGGTGACAACATGTCTCTTGTAACTTTTACTTAAGGTATGTCATATCTGCAGAAAAAGTAATTTTGTATTAGGAAACCTCACAACATCTTCTTTATCCTATTGTTTCTCCTAAGCCTAACTTCAGAGTTTACTTTTCCAAAATCATCACTTTGGCTTGCAAGCAAGGTATCACTAAAGCTCTTTTTTACCTACTGGGAGCTTGCTTAGGGTTTCTTACTGGCAAATAAAACTCACTTGAAGTATATGATGTTAATATTGATGATTTGTGACCAAAAAGCATGAAAAATATAATTTAGGCAAATTAGTATTTTTAGTTATTTTTTCCATACATGCAGCAAATTTATTTTAAGATTCTGCTACTAGAATGTTCATAAAGGTTTGAATAAAGCTAAAAATGTATAATTACACCTGTAATGCATTCTTCACAAGACAGTAGAAGGAAAAGAAGAAAGATAAGGTAATCAGAGAGAGCAAGCACTAACACACTAATGAAGGCTTTGAAAAACATGAGTTAGGCTTTAGGTTTAGAAACTCATTTTCTAAGGCAAAAAAAATTCTGGACTGCTTTTTGTTTCTTTTTCCTCTTTGCCTACTGAACACTGACACATCCAAGCAGTCTTGATCATATATGCAATGCTTTATCCTGAAACTATGAAAGTTAATTCCTAGCCAGATCTACAATTTTTGAGAGTTAGTGGCTAGAGGAAATGCAGAGATATTTACAGTTTGAGAATAATTTAGATTAGAGATGGCAACATACAAAATCTCTTTGAAAATGGCACCTTTGGCTTTGACAACATTAAATGTAGAAGTATATATGTTAAGTATTTTACTGAGTCAGGGCCATAATGCTTTTAATTCTAGGAATCAAAATCTATTGATCTAATGAATCTATTGATCTATCTATTTTTCAAAAAAATAGACAATGCATAAATGAGAGAGTACTTATTCCCTGTTGAGTCCAGGGACTCAAATTTATCATAAATCTCATTTACATTGCAGGCACTCTCCATGCTCATATGAAAATAGTGATCAAATGAAGAGCTATAGCTTAAGGGGTTTTTTCTCCACAACCATAAAATGAGAAATTAGTCAAATGAGCACTGTGGTCAAATCTGCTAAAAAATCACAACCACATTATATTAACTGACAAATTCTCTGTTTTAATGCCTCTTTCAAATATTGTTCTAATACCATGAAGCATATATTCTTCTTTAAAGACCTCTCATGATTCTATTTGTATCCAGTACATAACTTATGTCTTGAATGTAGAAAAAGAAAACATTGTGTGGAAAATCAATAGAAAAATTGGAGAATCATTAAAAGTCTCTTATAATGCACAATAAATTTAATTTTTAAGGTTCCTCATACAGCCTAGGAATTATTCACTGAAACATTACAATATCAGCTAGTTTAAAAAAAAAAAAAAAAGTTTAAAATCTCATGATTTACAAGTCAGGGGAAAATGCCTGTGAGAAAAAAAAAGAAAAAAAAGAAAAAAATTTAACACAAAAGGCAGGTTGTCTTCCTGTGCCTAAATTTCAGATGCTCTGAAGCTCCAAATATGAGGATCTCAGGTAATGGCCTGATGCAATGTGATGGAAAACTTGGGTCAGAAAATATTCCAATCTGCTAAGTTCAGAGGAGCACTGAATATTTCATTAAATACTTAATTTTAATTTCTTCTCTCTGTTACATCCTTAGCAACAAGCACCAAATTAGCTTAGCCATAAAACTAAAAGACACACAAATGAGTATTAGTAGTGAATGCAAAATACCTTTTTCTTGGATGCTTCTGACTTCTTTGACATGTTTCTCAACTTCTTATGCAGATGATTAAGAACCTGAAAAGATAAATTTGCATCTCTTTATCATATTTCCCCAATTTCTATTCAAACAAAATTCAAACCCATGTATCTTAGAGTACTCTTGTACTCTCCAGTACAGCATGATTCACTAACAAACATCACTGAACCAACTTACACATTTCAAACATGCACAGTAGGAAAAACAAAAGAATTACATATGTGAGTCCGTGTGAACTAACAAATTCAAAGCAGAGCACAGCTGAATTCTCATAAAAATATTCAGATGTATTACATAACAAATACATATCACAAATTAAAAAGGAAACAGATGGAAACATATCTTGTACATAGAATTAGCAATCTCCTTCTATAAAAAGTCAGAGACTGTTGGTTTAGAATGACCTTTAGTGTGTGTAACAAGAAAAGTGTATGTTTTGAGTCAGAGCTTTTCTGAGTCACCTGAATAATTTTCTTCCTGCAGATGGATGTTTGGTTAACATAATGAAGACTTTGGCACTATTTGATCTTTGAAAGAAGCTTAGGCCTTCAAACATAATTTATACTAAATTGAGACATGACACACGAGGCATGACACATGAGGCATGACATTTAACAACAAGGTGATGATACTCACCATGTGTCTTTCACAAGCAAATTTTAAAAACACATCACAAAAAGGCTCATTATCCAAGAGCAGGGTCCAAATTTTAACATAATAATTTACACATAAGGTTTTGGATGCAGGATGCATAGACATCTTGAGGTGGAGAAAAAGGTCCAAATTCAGATTCTTTAATATTATCTGGGGACATTTTCTCTGTGTTCTTTGGGGTGCACAGCTAATCATTCTCAGGACAGACATCAGTCAAGATGATCTAGAGACTTGATCCCACTCTAGCATTTGAGTTTTATAGACATACATATTGAATTAAAAGAAGTAAGATGGTATTTGTGAGCATCCAGAGCTCATCAACAGACTTCATTTCTTAGGTATCTACTCTTAGCTACCAGAGGACCACCAACAACAATAAAAATAAGAACTTACTTATAACCACTTAGTATTGTAAGTGCAGTTCATTTGTGCCTGTCCGTGTACTACTATGTGGCTCACCCTGCGTGCACTTCCTATTTGGAAACACTATCCAGGCCACTTCCAGGGCTAACCCAAGCTAAGAAAAAGTAGGAGAAAAATAAAGGGGCTTTTCCTGAGAAAGTCCCGTTTTGACTTCGTTTCTTTCTTCTTCACTATGAAGTAGATCCAAGGGAAAGGACAGAACCCCAGAAGATCAGGGAGGTGACCGTCTGGCTCATGGACTTTTTACTCACCTCCTATCACCATGTACAGACCAGATGAATTGCTGAGTCTACCAGTGAAAAACATAAAACCAAAAAAAAAAAAAAAAGGCATGGGAGGAATGAAATTAAGTTAATGTCCCAACACTGCTGCTTCATCTATCATACCCCCTTCCCATAACTTACAGTGATGGTCTGTTTCTACCAAACCTTTGCAAATCCCATCATGTGCCACCCAGTGACTGCACTGTTCTGTGATTCTCCCTCACAGCCCAAAACTAAAGTCAGATAAACTCTCCTCAGAGATCAGAACTGCAAAATCCTTTTTAAAGTTACAAACATTTTTTTCTTCTGTTTTGAAACTTCTAGCCCAAAGTTTTGCATTGTATCTCGCTCCAGTTCAAAGAAAGATGCAGGAGACAAAACAGGTAAATTGGGTATTTGAGGAGACTGGGAGGTGGTGTCAATTTAGACTATAACCCTCAAATGAACCTTCTCAGCTTCCCCTCTTTTGGATTACATAGACATTTCATAGAATAAGTACTTGCAATGAAAACATATTGGCTCCTCATAGTATTGTACCAGATGGCATGAAAAGTAGCAGCAAGAGAAATAGGCAAAATGCAATTACTTATCAACAGCAGCAGAACAGCTCTCAAAGACCTACACAGAATGCCATGGAGTATTAAAAAGAGCCATGTTTATGCACAACCACTACAAGGCAAATCGAAGTCACTCTCCCCACTACCCTGTTCAAATTGCCTCTTCTCTGGGCCAATGAATAATCAATTGTTCTTGGAACAGCCTGAATGAACAATTATTTTACAATGCACCTCTTAATTTGCCTTAGGCTAGTTCTCTTAAGAAATTATTTCAAATATCCACTAATACATTTGCATGTGCATTTTTAACCCATGGAACGAAATACTCAGCTTCCTAAAAAATAGGTCCTGACCTGGTCTCATAAGATGTAATATTTTCAACCCCAGCTTTCATGTACCTGCTGTTCAGACACCAGCTTCCCTCTTTTCTGGAGATGCGGGTGGAGTGCTGTGATAAGAAAATTATGTTGTTGTGTAAGAGACTGCAGGAAGACTTGCAGGGTCTAGTCTGGTACAGACCATCTGACTACGACTACCACTCATGACATCCATCTTTCTTTCTTTCTTTCTTTCTTTCTTTCTTTCTTTCTTTCTTTCTTTCTTTCTTTCTTTCTTTCTTTCTTTCTTTCTTTCTTTCTTTCT